AAGCGAACGAACATTCACAAGCATGGAAGAGATGCTTACGTGCAATAAGGCTTTATTTACTCCTACGTGTAATAGTTATTTCACACTAAGCAGCGAGCACCGATATTCGACACCCCATAACCTTAAGAGCCTATAGCTGATGGCTAACCCAAGAAGGACAGCATGTCTTGAAGACCAGCACATTTAGTTATAAACATAAAAAACCTTGTATCTTTTCCTTAGAAAGCCTTTGAAAGTGGAAAGCGATCCGCATTGCTAAATTTACGCCAAACTTCTTAACAGTAGAAAAGGTTTTACGGCAAACGGCAAAAGGCAAACGTCAGATATGAGTTGAGAATTTCTCAGGATAGAAAATAAGTAGACATAAACTGTCCGGAACAATTCTTACGGATAAAACTGGCGTGAAACTGCTTATTTTTGAGTAGAAGTAATAAACAGTACACGACAATTAAGGGAAAAACTTGGTCACGAGGTTCAAATATACGTTTCCCGTTTGGCGTAAACGTGAATCTTAATGTGCCTAATTTCTCGTAATCTCGTTACACCGGGTTACAACGCTATGTGAGACCATCATGAAAGGATAAAAACGCTCCAGTGTGAAAGGCGCTTAAGTTTAACCTAAAAGAAACACTTATAGAAAAAAAACCAATACAGTGCAAATTAAAATCTCTTTACCACCCATTCCACTGAGAAATAACGAGGGCATTTTATGTCATACTTTTTGTCATGAATGGTAAATTAACAAGTCGATCATTAATGGAATGGAATACACTCTTATGTTACTTCATGAAGTATGGTTTGCAAGTCCGTCAGCCTGAAATGTGGTGTAGAAATTACAGAGTTTCAGATATATGAAATTTCATGTGCTCATCACTTTCGTATTTCCAGCTTCCACGGGTACATATTAATTATAATGATTTCACAAAGTAACCAGCTCCCAGCTGTTGGATTGATAGCGGTAAGAGCACAGGAAAATAAAGTCTAGCATAAATAGATTTGCAAAAGTGCTGCTGAATATATAGCCTAGTGTAGCAAAGAAGTTTCCGAGACCCACCTGCACAGCCCCCAAACTGTACAGAAAGACATTATTCCCCCCTTCCCCCCCGCCCGCCGCCTCTTTAGGCAGAGAACCTGGTCTTGCAGATCATTCAGTGGAAGAAAACTTCTCCCAGGAAGAGCACCAATGCAACATCAAAAGGACATTGGATATTTTGAGAGCAAAGCTTGCAGCTTCGGTCGGGACAGTAACAGCGGTAGTAGTCGGAGGTGCCTGGGTCGAACTGAAGTTAGATTTCACTTTACGGCTGCCAAGGTTCTGAACTGGGCGGTAATTGTCGACAATGTTCATGGTGTTGTTCATCTTTAAGGACCGCAGCGCATCCAGCTGTAAACAGGAAAAAAAGAAGATGATTTCGTTTCTCCTACGTCCAAGGCGACACCAAGACACGAGGGTTATAATGCATGTACACCTGTACATATTCCAGGGGATGCTGCCTGGGGACGAGGTTGAGTTGTTTTGGTTGTGAAAACAAAAAACGGCGGACATTTCACTCACTTCAAGAGTAAGAACTAGGCGAAATTATAGCTAAAAACTTGGCAAGAACAGCAAGAACACAACTCGAAGGGCGACATCTGCTATTTGGAGAATATTTGCGGAGCTGAACAACCGTGCACTATCGCGCATCGCGCATCGAAGGTGAACTTAACATGGATGGAGGTAAGTATGTTTTAGCTTTGTTTTTAAACTAGGAATTATTTCGAATCAATAATAGAACAATTATTGAATTCGGCTTTCGTATCAAATGAAGAATTATGGAGATTACAAGATATCGCTATCTTTATGTTCAAAATAAGGAATAGATTACTACCTTACAACATACTAGAACTCTTCTCGTCATCGCCTTCGAACTACAACCTGAGGAACTCGGACTTTCACGTTCAAAGGGTAAAAACTGTTAAATATGGAAAGCATTCCCTCAGATTTTTTGGGCCATTTTTATGGTCAAAATTGAGCATGAAGGACAGAAACGAGACCTCCTTAAGCAGGTTTAAAGCAAATATAAGGAGAAAAGATCTGAGCAAATTGGTTAGTGATAACGCATGCAAAGGGTGCCACCTGTGTGACTCATAATTCATAAACAGGAAATATCATCACTGGTAGAGTTGATATATTATGAAGTTGTATATATAGTTTTTTTCTCATTTATTACATAGGTGTTTTTTCGAAGCATATTGAATATCGTGTATCTTTTAAGTAGTTTTAGAATAGTTAAATCTTATTGGCTTATAGTATTATGTATATATATTTCTTATTAATAAGTTATTTAGGTAGTGTCCCCGATTAGTAGGCCTGACGGCAAGCTAGAAGACTAGACACTTAAACAAAGTTGTTGATTGATTAAGATCTCGGAGGGTGTTATCCGTCGAGGCCGTATAACACCGTCCTCGATCTCCATAATTCTTCATAAGATACTCAGCCTCGTTCATTAATTGTTTTAACTATTTAAAAATAGTGATGCTGGCTTACTAACACAGTGACACAAAGAAGGTAAGAGAAGAAGTTGTGATTTTCCCAACTCCCGGCAAGCCATAAAGATTGTTAGAAAGACTATTGAATTTTTTTCCTTTTTTAACAAAGAAAGAACGATGTGTATCTGCAGTAGGGGTACAACCTTTAGTTTCTAGCCAACTCTTTGTATCATGATGGTTCAGGTGTTCATACTTCCATTCACTCCATGTGATATTTTATTTTGGACTAATCGTACTTTTAACGTAATCTTTTCAATACAAGCTACACGCGGCTTAAACATATTTTAATTATCATCTCCCACAATTCACACCACTTACTTATTTTAACTATCTACTCCCACATTGACGCTTCACATAGTTTCACTAATTCTTTATTATTATTATTATTAGTAGTAGTAGTAGTCGTACTATAAAATCTTTTTTCTGACTTATTTACTCTACTTGTCAATTGTTTGTATTAACATTATTAGACCTATGTAGGGGAGAGAGAGAATTTCAGTTGGGAAATTAGACGTGGAGTCTATCAAACACAACTTTTTATTTGCATCTTCTCTTAGTTCTTTTTCTATTTCTTGCACTTCCTTTTTTAATGAATAATCTTTTAGTCTTTTTTCTATTTCTTACATTTATTCTTTTTCCCGAACTCAACACGGGAATGTCGGGCATATGACCTGGTGCCGGGTTAGAAACATTCCTGGTCAGTTGTGCTATGCCCCTGGAAATTCACAACTATTAGGAGCCTTGGTGTCGATACATCCACTGTCCTAAATATATACCCGCGGGTCTCTTAACCTTTTCTTTCCCATTTTTCCATGTTATCTTTATCTGAAAATTATCTTATCGTAATTCAGGATGGGTGCCTTTTTTTCTCTTTCTCTCTCTCCTCCTATGGTAGTTGTTTTTATGACTTGAATCCGTTGTTCTTCTTTTTTAACACCCTCCTCTAATAAGAACTGTTTAACTGTTTTTTTTTACCTACTTTCAAAGTTTTAAAGAACGAAATAATATTATGGGTGATTATATTTCCTGGTTGGCAGTTTATCCTTTTTTAAAAGGTTTTTTTTAAGTTGGGTAACTCCCCTTTTCCCTGCCATTTTCTTTTTCAGGCTTCTCTCATTGTGTACGTCATTGACGATTACCTATATGATGTGTGCGCCAGAAAAACTTTTGCTACCTTTTGCGGGCCGCGTCCATTGAAGAGGAGTTTTTGTCTTCTAGCTGAGGAGTTTCCATTTATTTTTCTCGCTAATTAGTCTACTGCAGAGGTTTTCTGATATATTTTAGAATAAGTATTCAACTACTTTTTATTTCCAAGACCTTTCAGTACTTTCATGTGCAATACCGCAGACATTTTGCTACGGCTGTAGCTAGTGGATCTGTTTGCTGTAGACACCGGTTTACCTTCAAAGTCCTAAATTAAAAACTAAGTTGCAGCTATATAATATACTAACCCTTCAGTTCCTTTTATTTTATGATTGCATTGTATATTTTTTGTTGGACTTGGCTGCATTGCAGTTTGTTGGTCGCCCAATATCAGTGCTTTTTCTAACAATTAACTACTTTTCTATTGACCATTTTTATTTGTGTTTTTATGCATACAACACTCCCATTTACACACACCCTCCCTCCCTTCTATCTTGCCCACTGCTTCAGTGGAGACTTGGTAACCCTTTTATTAGGGATCCCGCACTTTAATCACCTGCAATACCACAAAGGTTGCTAAGTGAATCTACTGTTCTGAATTTTTTTTTCCACAAAGTTATGGTGGGTACCTTTCAGTAGGGGTACCATTTTGGCTACTAGTCAACTCTTTGAATGGTTTATTGTGTTCATACTTTCACCATACAATTTTTATCAAATGCTATTTTCACTAAAAATCTCTTTAATTATATACTAATTATTAATAGTTGATGTCTTTATATACACCTTAATCAGGGTTTACTGTACCGTTATCCCTCCCCTCTAACTTTTCCTCTTTTTTTCTATTTGTGGCATTTTTTTTCCTGGTCTCGACACTGTATCTTTGTGTTAGACATGACTGCATTAGACAATATTCACACTACATATAATTACACTTCGTCCATATAATACCTCTATACCTCCTCTTACTCTTTTGTAATTATGATTTTTATTTATGCAATACTGTAGTGGACATAGCTGCATATCAGTCTGTGGGTCCCTCACTATTATCGTACCCTAACCCATTTAAGTTTTTCATTTTATTTTTATGCTATGTTACTGTGAGACTAACAGCATTGCAGTTTATTAGTCTCTCAGTTACTTTGCTTAACCATTATCCTCACCTACTTTATGTTTAATTTTTACTTACATACACACCCTCTACTCCTTCACCCTCTGATGGTATCGGTAGAGGGGAACCCATGTATTTGGTGATCCCTTTCCCAACATCCGGCAAGCCACTAAGGTTGCTAGATAGACTACCGATTTTTTCCTTTTTAACAAACAAAAACTTAATGAAAGAAGGCTGCTCCAAGGAGGAGCACCAACACCAATACGACATTTGATATTTTGAGAGCAACGCCATCGGTTGTAACAGAAGGGGCAGTCGTTGTAACAGAAGAGGCAGTCGTTGTGACAGGAGGGGCCGTCGTTATCATGCCAAAGCTGGCTTTCACTTGACGGCTGTTGAGCATCTGAACGGGGCGGTAATTGTTAACAATGTTCGCGGTGTCGTTGTACTTCATGGAACGCAGGCCATCCAGCTGTAAAGTGAAAAAGAAAATGGATTTTATTTCTTCAACAAAAGATGGAACATGGATCTTCCTACCCTCAGATAGTCCACTGATTGCGCGTAAGCAGTGTTTGCAAATAGCCAATGAGAGGAGCGTATGTAAAGAATCCGCGTTCACCACGCAACGCGTAGTTATTGAATTTCCTGAGCGCACGCCAGACTGCCCAGAAACGAAAGCTTTCAGCAGTTTTTCTCAAAGACTCATCGCAATACCCATGACCAGGGGAATAAATTTATCTGGCCTTTAAGGATTTGGTGTTCTCATGCCGAATCAGTGCGCTCTTCTTTGATACGGGAGAGATTTGTGAGTTGAGACTGCACAGAGTAACCTGTCTTGCTTCCCCTTATGTAGGAAACAACACCGAACAAACAACGAGTCGCCAAGCCGTGTAAAATGGCGATAAACTGAGCTGGCGAAAAATTCAGCCATGGTTACACAGAAAAAGCAATGCATGACAAACCCAAGTTTGTATAAGTGCACTGATTTACTCTATATTTGTGCCTATAATTCTACCTTTTAACAACTATGTTCGATTTTTCATTCAAAGTCTATAAATCGTTTGCAATATGCAAAACAGTATCGAAACACGCAGTAATTTATGCACCGAACTCGTGCTACTCTCATACTTTTTAATTCTTGCATAATAATTATTAGGACAAATTTTCCCGCAAAATGCTTTACGTGAGACATGTTGCAAAAGGTCCGCGAATCTTCTTGTTTATGAAAGGTTCTGCAACATCTCCATCCCCATACTAATTTTTACAGGCTAATTAAAATGTAGCAATAACGCAAATCGGGGAGTTTGAGTTTGTTGGGCAGCGGGTAAACAAGTGGGGCTGTCGTATTTCAAAGGGAGAGGGTGGCGGGAGGGGTGGGGGGTAGGGTGGTTGTATATTCAGATTTTTTATTGACGGTTATGGTCTGCGAACTAATTTTGGGGTCCCCATCTCTAGAATACCAGAAGAGTAACTTAAAAAAGACTCTCTAAACGTTTTAAGGTAAAATGTGTGAGCCGAAAGAAATGGGAACGTTTTCTTGTCCTAAAGGAGGCTTCAGTTTTAATGACTGCCCTGTACAATTTCTTGTCTGTCCAATCCCCACAGGATGACAAGCCAATTGAAGACTGTTAGTTTTAAACTAAGCACCTACTTTCTTTAGACAATTAACGTACTCTTTGGCTACTTAAATGTATGTAAGTCAAAAGAATTCGATTTTGAGAACATCAAGAAAATACCAAGAAAGCAGCTACTGACCAGAGGGAGAAAGTATTTTTTGTTTCTCAGTTTATCGCGATGATAGCGAAACAAGATTAACTTGCTAACTTGTTTCCTGAGGGACCTGTCATTCAACAATTAGACAACAATAAGATTTTTATGGTCTGTACTCTTATCGACCATCAGGAGCCCAAATCTCAAATGGAACAACAAGCTGCAGGCGATTAGTTTCAATGTAACACTTAAGCTTAAGTGCTTGATGGCCTCAACAAACGTTTAACAGGAGCTGTATTGAAGCGGGAGCCCATAACCCGCAGCGTGCAACTCACAGATCAAGATATTTTTAGTATCAATTTTGATCAGTTTTCTAGCGTAAGGCAGATGAGCGTAAAGGGAAGCACTGTTCTGTATGCGTGCGAATCCATAGTACGATATAAGTACAAAAAGAAGAAGTAAACGCTGAAAACATCACAAATACATTTTTCTAGACTCTGGTTTTTGATGCCTGATTTGTTAGACTTATTTGGTATTCAAAACCTTTGCATGATCACAAGGGAGTTGCTCGCTCCGGGTTATTGGCTCCTGATGCAAGTAATAAAAACATAAATGAACCAAAGAAAGCCCCTGTCCAAAAACAAGAAATTGTAAGTTTTACCTGAGCCTGCGATATCTTGACAGTATCGTTGAAAACAGACCAGGTAACAGCCTCATTGCAGGTCGGGGTTGTCAGGGAGCCTGGGTACCGGAAATACTTGGTCATGTTGGTTGGTAGGAGATCCATAAGGTTAAAGGCTGAAAAGGTTGTTTCGTTACCTGTGGATCGAAAGACGAATTGTGATTTGAATCACAATCAAACAACTTGCAAGATATATGAAATACAGTATGAGTATTTTTATCAAAAGAAAAAACAGCAATACCATGCAACTGGAAGGATAAAGATGGGTTAAGCAAGAGCACAAATGGTTAGCTTTTTTAAAAAGTCCATGTCTTAAAAGCAAATAGAGTGCCAGTCACATTCAATGTGTATGATTACGCATCTATTCAACGACCTGCCGAAAAGAATTGCAGTTAATTAACCTCGGAATACCATCACCCACAGTTGGGACATTTCATCGCTGGAGAGGCGTTTGCGTTCTAGTCTCATAAATTACGCGAAGAGTCCCAGCAACGAGGAGTAATGATGAGAGGTGGCTGTATTTTCATATTATCATTCGGGCATTCGCGAAGCATCCATTCTTAGTTTTTCCATTTAGTTGTTTCTCATCTCGAGTGTGAGATACTTTTGAAACCAAACGATTCAGTGTGGGGTCAGCCTCAAACTATCTGGGCAAAAGCTCCTCCTTTACGAGAAAATTTTGTTTTGAACGCCACAGAAATGATCGAGAACGCTCCAGCTCGTTTATTTAACATTAGAGACCTTTAGATTCTAAGACGGGAATGACTACGAGCTAGTACGAGATTTGACTTCAGGTTTTTTTTGCCTCAAAAACTGTGAACACCCCAAAAAGCTTCATTTTACTTTTTTTCCACCAGAAAAGTTAGCACTGTTAGCTTTATTGAAGGAGGTTAAACCCTCTTCCGGTCGTAAAATGACAAAACCTCTTATTTTTCATAACTCGTTTCCGCCACTACGCCGACATTTCTTGCAAAAACTCGTATTAGAATGACGACGACTTTCTCGTTTTCCGCCAAAATGACGCTTGTTCTTGCACAAGCACTGCTTAGTATTAATCCTTGTAGTCGTCCTCGTCTTAGAATCCAGAGGTATCTATTACTTTCAGAGTACAGCATTCACAAAATGTCAGGATACTTCCTCCCAATGATCCCACGTACCTTTGTACATCACATGGCTGATTTGATCCAAGAACTTTTTATAGTGCTGATTTTCGCTTGCGCCAACCTAACACCAGTTTAGAAAGCAATAATAATAATAATTAAAAAGAAAAATTTAGTGCCTTGATTTCGCTTTGAATTTCACACCTTTTGACATGTCTATATAACAGACCTGATTGTCGGCGCCTGAGCCAAGCTAACATTTAGAAAGTAATGAACGAAACAATGAATATTTTAATGCCTTATGAAATTATGCATCACGCTTTTGATGAATAACGACCTTTCTTTATTACAAACTATTCCACTTTCAGTATTAGAAAATACTAATAAGTGTGGTACTAATGATATATCACAGGATATTTACCTTGATTAAGTCATTTTTATGTCACGTTGAAAAAGGAACAATTTTCGACAAACTTGAGGTGCAAAAATGAAGCATAAGTACGCGGCTTTCGAATTGATTTCTTCAAATATAGACTCGAGCTTTTTTATGTAACAAAATTAATGCTTTTGCCAACTCCATGTAAGGAAATCCGAAATATTCTTGGATTATGGATTAGACGCGGTGAATTCGGGCTAGATTCAGGATTCTTTGTCTGTGGAACAGGAATTATGGATTCCTGAATAGATAATCCTTTAGCTGTGCTAACAGGATTCTAAAACAAAAATTCCTTCATTCCAGATTCCACAAGTAAAAATTACTGGGATTATGGAATGCGGATTCTCTTGCATGTAGAGACTTTTGGGAAGAAGTATGGGTTAGGAAAACAAAACTGAGAGTGAAAGGATGCGTTACCTCAATAAAGACACCGAGGACGGCCAAACCATCAGAATGAGACAGTGACTCACCGATGTCTGAGTATTTAGTGTTATAGCTGACAAAATGAATCTGCAAATTGAAATGAGCTCGTTAGTCCTGTGCAGGAAGCTTTTATAAAGAGCTGTCCGGTCCACAAGTAAAAATTTCTAAAGATTATTGGCGGAGCATGTTGCCTTGTGTTTATAAATAGAACATATCCACGACGTGTCTAATAAAGGCAAAATTAAGGTGACCTTTTCTTGTCTGAGCCTGTAAAGGTCCTTCTACTCATGCGCTTGTACGCAAATGAATATATTTTTTTTCAAATTTGTTTTATTTTACTCCAACAAGTGCGTAAAAGCAGCAGTTGTTCATTGTTTCTCTTTTCCGCTTTTTTCAAAGGCGACCCTATAGTGGTGTACGTATCGGAAAGGATGCACGAACCACATGCTCTCGTAAAGCTTTCCGCACCATGATGGCGCCCCGGAAACGAGGAAAAGCGCAAAGATCCACCTTTTTAAACAATTGGTTCAGGCTTAGCGTGCGTATATAGAGGATATTACACGGTGGCGCGAAGATATGAATTTTATTTTCGAGTGGCAAAACAATTATTTACGAACGAGCGCAGCGAGTGAGTAAATATTGTTTTTGCCACGAGAAATGAAATTTCATATCTTCGCGCCACCGTGTAATATCCTCTATATACGTTCTTTTTATTATATAAACAAAATGACATCGATAAAATAATAGAGGGAAATTACCAAAATTACTTCATCGTTAAACTCACGTGTGAGATTATGGAAAATAAACCACTCGGGTCCCGGATGTAGTTTTTATGAATTTTACGAGTGGTATATTTTCCAGTAAAACACTCGTGTCTATATGATAAATCGAGTTAATGCACTCGGGAAGTTTGGAGAGCACGAGAGAAGATAAAGAGCTGTGAGAGACCCTAGCTGCTTGAGTGCTCTCCAAACTTTCCAAGTGCATTCATTACTCTATATATACAGTCGAATCTCGGTAACTCGAACCCTCTATAACTCGAAGCTCCCGTTAATTTTACTACCGCAAAGCTTAAAGCATGGTCCAATTTTTTTAAAATAACATACTATAACAATTCTCTTAACGCGCGGCAGAGAAATACAAATGCTTCAGTCTATTAGTTGGTTTAAAACACGCCACAATCGTCTAGATTGAAAAAAACCTTTTTTTTAAACTGACAGTGAAAACGACAATGGACACTAAGCAGAAACAAAGGTACCTAAAGTTAAAATACTCAAACGTTCGTAAGGAGGTGTTGAGTATGGTTTGGATTCGTTGAAATGATGTTTATGTTCTGCTTGGCGAAATCCAGGAAACTCAGGTTTGAGCCGAAGACGACTGTCATCCCAAGTTATATTCATGTGCGAAAAATGGAAGTAGTCTCACATATTCTGATCATTAAGGATTCTTTACGACTTTGCTGCGGTTTTTTTGTGAGTAAAGAATTTATGTCTTTTGTGTAATTTGTCTTGTTTATTGCAAGAGCCGGGAAAATTTTCGCCATTACTGTATAATTAACTTGTTTGATCGGAGGTATGGTTGTACTTCAGTATTAGGTGGATTTAAATTTTGTCAAGGAGTCAATCTAACAATAGGATCACTTTGATTAATTCTTATTCAACTCGTGTAATTGGCTTAAATAATCCGGCGCCGTTTACTCAACAAAGGCAGAGCGAAGCAAAACCCAATTGCGACTTTAGCACATAGAAGCGTTTTTCCTTTTTCATGGCTATCGTTTCAGCTTTTACCAAGGTAATTACTTTCATCATACAAAGCTTAACGCTGCCGCATAGCATCAAAAATAACACACCTCGGCAGGATACATCATCCCGTCCACAGTGTGTTCCGATCCCCGGCTGTTGTTTGATCCCCAGTGCAAGTGAAACTGAACGGTGGTGAATGTTCCGGGGAGGTTACCTCCGCTTACGTTGTACACATTGCTGTCAAATGAAATTGTCAAGCCTTTGCCGTTGTTTGTAGCGGTAAAATTGACACCAGCTGGTATAGTGTTGTAGTTGACAAGTGTAAAACCACCCAGGTTTGAGTCACACATGGCTGTGTTGGTCTTGATGTCTATAGGCGACTGTTTCATCCCGGTAGCGCATACGCCTTCCCAATTGTCAGGTCCTAAAGAAGAGTTAGAAGGTCCATATGATGCTACGTGCGCAAATCGGTTATGCGGCGTCTCATTCATAGCAAGCGTTCCCTTGCAAGGAAGGGACGAAAGTCTAACTAAGGGAGAAGGAGGGATCTCGTGGAAAATGAAACCAGAGGATGTGCGGCATAATTCACTATGAAAATCTTACTTTTACATGAGCTCGGATTCCTTTGTTCTTTTCCGGGGAATATATTAAATTAGTAAAATCCAACTAGTGGTCTATTATCAATGCTGCGTTCTGATTGGTTAAGCTACTACCAGACTATATGTTATAGCCCACTAGTAGCGAAAAGCGCCGGCTTTTTTCCGGCAAAAAAGGATTAAAGTCTAGCTTTAACTAGCTAAAAGTTTTTTATTATCGATATTTTTGACCAACTAGTTGGATTTTACTAAAACAATTTTCGGCCTAATGAGCTATTGACTCCGAGGCTATGAGGGCGAGAGGAATAATTTTTAATAACCCCCAAATATACTGTCTGAAAAGCGAGTGGGTGCGGCTTTAACTGTGTTAAGGGAAGAGCGGGGCTAATGAACAGCTAATAAAAATGCGAGGGGATTATGGGGAATAAGTCACTTATCCGCCTTGCATATTAATACACAATCCCCCCGCATTTTAATTAGTTTTTCGTGAAGAACAAATTTAGGAATGTTTACTTGGAAATATTACCCACGACGCTACAGTTACTATGCAATTACGCTACAATTACAATTATTACAGTGCCAGCAAGGTATATTGAAAACCGAAAGAATGGTGAACCGGTGATAGGGGCATTTTTCTTCATCGTATTTTTGCACCCCTTAAAGAAGCCTCGCGCCGTAGACACCATAACAGTATACATGTATATGTTTGTTCCGCAAAGGTCTGGTTGATGCCTGGTAACTCATATGAGGGACGCCATTTTGGATTTACCTATGCCGCGCACTCGGCTCATGGGCAGATGCTAAATCAAAGTTAACTATAACCTCGCTCGTCAGTTTCGTGTGAACAGAGCGAAACTATTGAACGGTTACGTGTGAAGGGTCCGATCACTGAGAGTTTTCAGCCGTCCGTGAATTCGCCCGATGCCTCGTGAACGAAGCATATAAAAACAGGTCAAAAAAGATCCGACAACGGTGACGCCAATGAAAGCGTCGCTGAAAAATAGACTTCGCGTACCGCGTTCTTTCAATTTTTTTTTTTGCCCTCATACCAAGTCACCCAGTTACTTAAAAGTAGGGAATTTAGTTTGGAACTTAAGAGAGGGGACCCGTGCACCCGAGTTCAGAGAGAAACAGTAAGATTTATCGTTTTGCCGTTCCCGTTCTCCAGTCAACTCAAAATTTGGACATTTCACGTCGTAGTTGTGCAGGGGTGGCAAAGAAATGTACAAAAAAGCGTGATGCCCGTGCAGAGTTATTGTTTTGCTCATAAAACCTATTGTGTTTTTGCCCGCCGTCGCCGTCGTAGTCTCGTAAGTTCCCTATGCCTGGAAGATAAAAAAGTGGAACCCATTGAACAGCACCTACCCGTATAGCAAAAACAAAGTTGTACACCGCCCTCCCGGTTAAATGGCATTTTTATACTTTTTTTAAAAAAGAGACCCTTGATGGCAGCGACCGATTGTCTTTGCAAAGGTTATTTCACCGCATGAAAACAGTACTGAATTTTTTTGTTTCAGGTCGTTGATGATGGATGCAGTGAGATGATCTCAGATGGGTCCATAGATGGTAAAGAGGTATACCTCAGGACGCAGTTTTGGAGGAAGGACGAACATATACAAGTACTAAAAACAAAGAAGAAAAAAATATAGAGTACCATTTGAAGGGTTTTGATAATAGCTCCAATCTAGAAAAACAACAAATATTACAGTCAAAGTTTGAATTAAAATGATGAATCAAGATTAACACTGAATTACTTTGTCATAACCATAATGACAACAGGAAATAAATATATAAACTATATAATAATAACAATAATTAGTGAATAATAATAATGATGATGATAGTAATAATAATCATCAGCATCATCATCGTCATCAGTCTATCTATGCATTACAAGTTAACAATAAAATTCAACAAGTAGTTTGAGCATGATCGTCCGGGTGAACTTAGTCCGGCTGAATAGGACTGTTGTTAACAGTGAATGACGTTTCCATAACCTGTGTGGTAGTCATCTTCAGAATAAGTGAGTTGAGTTTGTTCTAAGTTTGCAAACCACTTTTCTAAAGTGAGCCGTTGATAGTATTCTGCAGAATATGTAGTACATGTCGCAGAGTCCCAGTCGATTTAGTGTTTGGTCTGTAAATGGTGTTCAGCAATGTGATTGTTGACGTTACTATTTCTTGTCGATCGTTTGGGTTCAGTCAGTCACGTGCTAAGGCTTCTGCCGGTTTCAGACAGACAGGGAGACAGGACAGACAGGGAGCAGTATACAAGAACAAATGCTGCGACTGCCGTGTCACTTACATTGGTGAAATCAGTACCATAGAAAATTTACAGAGAACTTGAATAAAGGCGCGCAGTACAATCTTCCCCAGTTATTTTACGGAGGACCCTGAATATTGGCCCTGGAAATGAAGCCCGCGACTTTCCGTACTTCAGGCCAGCGATCTACCAATTAAACTATTCCTGCCGCAATGAATCATGAAATATTGAATGTTTGTTTTGCCTTAGAGTTCATATGCACTCACTTACCGGCTGCCAAGGCAAAGGACACTCCAGCAATTAAGCATACAAAAGTCAACAAAGTCTTAGCCATGGCTGTTGGCAATAATTTTCCTGAAAGAAGGAAGAGCAGCACTACTAAGACTGTATCTCGTACTTTGAGTTGGAGGCATTTGGGTGCGTTATTATTCGGCATAATTTGTTTCATAACATGCTTGCTTCAGTGGTGCTCGCAGTAAAGGTCGATTACCGAGATCCAAGCCAATTAACCCTTTATGCCCACAATCCACCTACAACTTCTCCAGACTGATCTCCACACATTTCTTTTACGAATACTTGAGGGAATTTGGTTCAAGATCAAAGCGTTCTCCCTTTGGTAATCAGTTTAGTAATTCTCCTATAACTTTTACTTTTGATGATCTGCTGATGTTGTTAGGAGAAAATTGATGTTGGTCAGCTGTCTCATTCCCATTCCTTTCTCAGTCTCCAATTAAGATTAACGAGAGAAGAGCGGTCAAGGGGAAGCGCGAGGGGTGATTCGATGGGCGAAAGAGGGGAGACCCTCCCTTTCGTTTCCCTCCTTTCTATCACCAAGCAGTTATAACTCGCGCTGGTTGATTTTACGAAGGCTTTGAGTAAGGTCACCGGTAAATTATACCAAAAGACGTCGCTGTAGTCAAATCATGATTAAATCAGTAATCCTGGCGCTAAGAGAAGCGAAAAAACGAAACAAATATAAAGTTTTCCGAATCAAACGGATAGCCATCCGCTCTCTCTTAGTGACATTATTTGCCATTGCTTCTCGTGACCACTGCGTTATCTTTTAAGGGTTCGAATTTAACTGCTCAGTAATATAATTTGTCTCACCACTACCTGAGGTGGTGAACCCGATGTGGTTAAATTGATGTCATTTGCATAAATTTTTGGAACAGAATTTTGCAACAGTTGACACAGTTCGGTAAGTCATTCATATTATAACATAACATTATGAAAATAAAGGATCCAAAATAGACCCTTGTATTACGCCACATTTCAAATATCAAGATAATGATAACTCGCTATTAACAAAATATTTTTGTTATCATCCTGTTAAGTATGATTTGGACCATTCAAGTGACTTAGTATTACACAAATATCGCACAAGTCGATACTCTTGTGCAGCAATACGTCATGGTCGACTACATTAATGGCGTTAAAAAAAAAAAAAAACCTAGCAAGCATTATGTCAGAGTTGAAAAGGTCTACGGTCTATAGTTATCAGCAGTATCAACCAATAGTTAATTTGTCGGATCTAATAATCCAGCCTAACCCTGGCCCTAGCCTAATAGGTGTCCAGCATCAAACTACTAACAATGTATATGTTCGTTCAAATGAGAGTAGGGCTGGTTTACCTGCCAAAGAATAGGACGCACATAAGAGACAGAGATACGATGTAGGACGGTGACTGTTCAAATCAACTCCTCTCATTTGCCAAATGAATCAGTGCGATTTCAGCTAGCTTTAGGGCTGCCATAAAGTAAAATATTGTCGAGGACAGCCTCTTTTAACAGAAAACGTAAAATTCTAGAAGCTTTCTACGATGACAAAGTTAGCTCCACGGACTACACAATCAAAATCTACAGGCCTGACTGAATAGCAATGGACTTCAGTTAGGACCAACGAGTGACTGTTTGGTGCTTATTGAACAGTTCAGAGTCGGCGATCGTACCATTAATCTGTTTTATTTTTTTAGAAAATCATGTATGCAACTGCTTGATACCGGTAGATATACAAGAGGTCAGGTATGAGTAAATGACTCTTTTAAAGCTGGTTTGCGTCTTTCGAATTCATCCAAAAACAATAAGTCGATTTACATAAAAAAGTTTATTGGAACCCATCTATATGGAAATGATCTGCTGCCTTTCATGTGCCAATTAAAATTTGTATCTCTCACTAACTGAGAGCGAGGCAAAAATTATTTACCTCGCTCGTTCATTGAATTGAGTTAAGAAAGATAGATCAGAAATTCGAACATCTTGCAAGCTTGATTATCATCACAAAGAGAAAAAAAGAAAACAGTTAAACATACCGCGCGCCGACAATACCAAATTCTTTTGCTTTGCTTTAGGCGTTTCTTTCAGATGGCGTACTGATACGTTCAAATCAAGTGTGACTCGCGAGTTTGTTGGGTTAGTTTGACCTGAGAATGGAGAAAAATAAAATAAATGAAAAAGGTTATTAAATATCGTAAGCTGGAGTTTCTTTTCTTGTCCGACCTAAAAGTTAAAAATTCGAGGTTCAAATTCAAAACGAAGTATTTACTGTGAACGCAATAAGTTCGCTATTCACTATTCTTCCTATTTTATCGTACGATTCTA